TTTTTCTTGAAAAACCCCATTGATGATCCAATAATTTTTTTAAGATCAAATTCAACCAAAAATAAAATCAAAATTCATTTACTGTTCATATTTTAATCAAGATTCAAGCCCAATACATTGTTCGATTGTGATCCAAAAGAATGGATTTGGTACTGTTCACTTCATTGAGCCCATTTCAGATTGAATTAGCCCAAAATCTTTTGAGTTTATTACTGTTCATCGATTGTATTTGGAGTTCAATTCATATTTGTTTTGACCCGATATCATTTGCCTGTTGGTCAGTCGATTTGTACGTATGCTTTACTTAGTTGTACGATCAGTTCCAGATATCTGATTTCTTCATCGTTTGATCTTTAATCGTCCGTTCTATATTCGGTTGTTCTTCATTCTTATTTTTTCTTGATTGAATCGAAAACTCGATATGGATCGAGTTCGGAATCGACTTTTACTTTGTTGATCATCGATTGAATACAAGTCGTATTTGATTCAAAATTGTATTTGATGATTGTTCGATTTTGACTAGTTCTTAAGATCGATGTCTGTATATCGATTTTTGATTGTCGATTGTTTTGAAATCGATAAAGTTTTTTTTAACTCGAAAATGGAACTCAATTTCATGAATGAATTGAGTATTTGTATTTGATATTCGATGATGATGATGAACAACTCAAGAACAGATATGACTGGTGAATGAAAAGTCAAAGATAAGATGGGAAAGTCAAAATTGATGTTCTTATGAAATCAATACTAGAATCGATTAAAATGGAAGATTTCTTTGTGATTTCGGAAGTTGTTGTTTGATGGGTATCGATTGGGAACGAATCAAATGGTGAAAAACTTCGATTTTTGAAAAAGTGAAAGTTGCAGTCGATTGATGAACAGATGGGTTTTGGTTTTGATAAGACGATTTGGTTTAAGACATGAAGGACTATTGCTTGTTGGTTTGAAATCGTGATCTGATTGTTTGTATGGGAAGATGATTTCGATCGTTGATGAACGAAGGGCTCTCGCATGGTTATGAACTGGGAAGCAAGGTCTGTTAATGGATATGTGATAATCGAATGATTGATCTCGTTTGTTCATTGGCATCAACTGGAAAAGCGAAGCCTGTTTGGACTTTGATGAAATCGATTTGGACGATAGGGCTTTACATGGTTAATGAACGAAGAGTTATCGATCGATTTCTTCGAAAATTTGGGTTTGATGATCTGTAAAACGAAAATTTGATTTTGGAATTGGGGCGTATTGTTCGAACATTTGGAGTCGATGGGTGATGATAGAACGAACGAATTTTTTTTTCGTTTTGTGGTATTTTTGGATGTCGACGAGTTTTTGGATGTTTGGGTTGAACTGAGAAACGAACGAAAAATGATCGACTATGATTTGGTGAGTAAGATTCGAAGGGAACAGATGGGTGAATGTACGAAGGGTTCCTGTGTATTGGATTGATGAATTGGAGAAGAACTGTAAGGAACGAAGGGTGATCTGAATGTACGAAGGGTTACTGTTCATTACTGTTCATATATAAGGCTTCGAATGCTTCGCATTCATGTGTTTGGGAAAATTTTTGGGAAGAGGAGAGAAAATCAAAAATTCGTGCGTTTGGGTGAAAAAATTTCGTGTGTTTGGTGCCTGAGCTTTCGTACGAAGCGTTGCCTGAGAGTTTCGTGCGTTACCTGTATACTCAATTTGGGAAGAAGAAAACAAACTCAATTTCGAATTGGGTCCCTAATCTTTTAACAAAGTGACACAAATGGTCCAACTTCGAATGTTGGGGAAGAGCTTCGTATGATCGATAAAATTTTCGCATGATTGGCTCAAAAAGCAAAATTTTCGAAAATCACCCCTGAAATTTCGAATGGTTGTCAATTGGGAAAAGGCTTCGAATGTTTTGCAAAAAGCTTCGAACATTTTGATCAAAAAGCAGAATTTTCGAATTCAGCCCCTGAAATTTCGAATGTTTGACACTTTTCACCCAAATTCGAAAATTTTGAAGTTTCGAATGTTTGACACTTTTCACCCAAATTCGAAAATTTTGAAGTTTCAAATGTTTGACACTTTTCACCCAAATTCGAAAATTTTGAAGTTTCGAATGTTTGACACTTTTCACCCAAATTCGAAATTTTTTTTTGGAGCTTCGAATATTTTGGGGATTCTTCGTATGTTTGGTGCAAATGTATTGAGCATATAGTTCACATCGAATTGGGGGATGTGGTTTGACTTCGGAACTCAAAGATTATGAATCTTGTTCTGCATAGCTTCTGAGCATATCAAATTTGAACTTAAAAACGTGGTTTCTTGATAAAATATGAACAGGCGTACGACAGATTAAACATTCTAGGACTAATGACATCACGAGCGATGGGGAGAAGACTCCATCATGGAGATGTCGGTGGTAAAGAAAACATGAGCATTTAATAGGTGCAGGTTTGGATGAACTACATGAACCTTTACTTGTGAATAACGATGACAACAAGCCTAACCAGTTAAAGGTGCTTTCATGATTCCATCTTCCCAATTTCCTTTTCATCACAATATAGACTATGATATTATCATGGGTATCTAATCCTTGTGTTTTAGGTACAAAAGTATGAAGATGTTTTGTATGATGAAAAAAGAAAAGAAAACCTCCACTGGGCATTTCTATTCTCTAATATAATTTCAGAATGAGGACAATGGTTAGGTATGACTTGTTACTTAAAGAATCTCTCTTATTTTTTTTTTTGTAATGTTAAGTTTTAATTGATGAGAAATTCCATTTTGTTTCTTGTAGCAAGAGTTTTACTTGGATCCGGATCATTTATTGCACAGATTTTGACTTTGCCTTCAACATCTGGAAGTGGACCAACAAAGAAGTTTCTTCCACCGTTACTTACTCCATTACAGGTATGAACTTTGACATAAGATAAAATATAGAATTCTAAATATGAAAATATATTAGAATACTCAAATTACCAATATTATCGATGCTTGCTTTACTATACTTACAACTTGATAATATCACATTCACTAGTAATATTTTTCAACTTAAAATGGTGATATGGTTGGCCATGGGCTTTGGCTTCAGGCTAGCTTCGAGTGTCTGAGGCTCAACTGTTTTTTATAGGGAATACTACACACCTTTTGTACTTTATTCCTATTTCTACACACTCTCTAAACTTGGTGTAAATCAGCCTATGGAATTGAGTCCGTTCTGGTATTTGCAATTCCATAACCGGATAAATTCATATTCTAAAATCGTAAACATGGAAAATGCCATTCTGAAAATATTTGATGCCCAACAAAAGTGTCAATTACCTAGTAAACGACAAACTAGAAGTCTATTTTCTTGTAAACATAAATATAGCATGGAACAATTAAAATATCAATACTTATTAGTTATTAACTCTTTACACAGGTGAGGCTTTTTGATTTTGAACCTTCAATTTAAGATAATGTATTAGTATTTATATTACTTTTACAATAATGTATAAAACAGTAAATTACATTTTTGGTCCTCGTTTGAGGTCCTCCCTGTTATTAAAAGCAAGTCCTTCATGTTGTTATAGCATTGTTATTATTATTAGTATTATGATGATTGATTAATAAAAAGAGCTGCATATAAATGATTTTTTAATGGAAAAAAAACAAAGAAATTGCATCGCTTCTAATCACAAATAAATGATTCCATTTAATTAATGGATAATTAGCATGAATTAGTAGTAGATATGTCACAAATATTTATTCAAGAGGTATTTTCTTTATTGATGCTCTGCTGTGATTGTTTGTTGTATAGGATGCAGTTGGGAAGAGATGCAAAGTTGTCCCTGGTGGCTGTTTGGTGTTCTTCCCCAGTTATAAACATATGGACAAATTATGCAGTCGTTGGTCTGAATTCTGAAATAGGTCAATGGACTCGCCTAAATGCACATAAACCCGTTTTTGTTGGTGAGGTTATGTTGTTGATAAAAGTGTGTCATGCTTAAAGGAAATGATGGGATATTTGTTATTTTTGTGTTATATTTATGTTTGGTTTATATATATATTTGTCTAATATTACTAATTTCCAGGCTGATACTACTGGTGAAGAAGTATCCTTTGAAGATCTTGGAGGTGCAAATGTCCATAATTAGGTGTTTCAGACTATCTTGCTCATGCTAGAGCAAATGTCCATAAATACCAACTTACTTTACTCTCACTACCAATATTGTCAACATACGTTACTGTTTAATGATAATCCATATTCTTATAATAATAATAATTAGCAATTTAGCATCCTCATCAATCTCTCAATGCTACTGTAATACACCAAATTATGTACATGTCCTATATCTTAGCCAACTTTATTTAATCCATGTTTTCATCTTCAATTGTTTCTAGTTTCATGTTAAGCTTCTTATATGCATCACCCTTTGTTGCAGGTTAGCTATTGGTTCATCTTTGTTTAAGCAGTGGATTGATTATAAAGAACATTCAAAGTGAAAAAGGACTCCTTATGGATGGATTTTTGTTTCTAAAACAAGTCCTTATTCAGGTATTATCTTCAAGCTTCTTGTTCACAGAGGGGAGTGAGCGTTAGGGTTTGTTGTTGGAGACGTTGTAGTCTCTTTATGGACTAGATAATAATAAAATAATATGAATGGACTAAAATACCCTCACGTGAGGGGGGGGGGGGGGCATGGGGAAATTAACGAACGGGAGTATGGTAACAGCTGTTAAGTCATCCATTGGACCAAACTCGCAACAAAAACAAAAACAAACTATTGGACCACCTTTGCGAGTTTTGACAGACGACAGGGACCATTCTTGCAATTTTGTCAATACATTAATTAATCAACTTGATACAATTAACTAAACAAGTACAAAATGCTAGCCCGACATTTATTTGAAATTACATGCCTTCAACGAAAAAAAGAAAAAAAAAAAACACAAGTAATTGAAGATGCAATCCCCCATAAATATATTTTATTTTTTATTTGCTGTGTTTCATAATAATCACACACATGCTGCACCAAACAGAATCATTCATTTCCATGCAGAGATGACATGGCGACAAGACCCAACTTCTGGAGATTCAATTTGACAACAGTATCTGTGAACATTTTTGTATCCTCCACTGTGTTCCCGGCAGGTATATCGACGATGTATGATTCCAAAACAATGGTGTAAACCTTTTCGTCTTTCTTGAATTCATTAACAGAAGTAACAGAAAGATAGTTATTCAATCGATGCTCACCACCTACTACTCTGAAACTCAAAATATGCTTCTCGTCATCCAGAATCTCAAGTCTCTCGGTGCTGGTGGAGGCTGGAAGGCCGGAGATGACAGTCACCTCGCGCATGCTGCCAACACCACCATCCCCAAACATGTTGCAGCTCTTAATGAAATGTTTGTATCTCTGTGGGTTGTCAAAACGGCGCACCAGCGGCCAAACTACGTCGCTAGGAGCGTCGATGCGCTGGGTGATGAGGGAGGTGCATGTGTTTGGTATTTTGTCGAACATGTGGTATGCATTGATTAAGAGTTGAAGCTCCGAGTATTCATCCGGGGTGAGTCCTTGTGGAATTGAACTTCCTTCCATTTTCAGAGGGAAACTCATAATAAATCTAACCCTTGATTTTCAATGGATGTCATTAATCATCAAAGTTTTGAATGCAGAAGAAGATCACGAGGAAAAGGGTCGTGTGGGTACAAAAAGCAAGGTTGGTAATGGAGTTCTTGTGACTTCTGAAAAGGAGTGGAGAAAAGGCTATGGACAACAATGGAGGTGAACGTGTGTGTGCTTGCTTTTTAAATGCACAAAGTTTACCATCAAACTCAAGTTTGTCTTGTAAAAAGAAAAATAATGTGATATGAAAAACGTATATATAAAAATCATTTATATTAACGAATTTTAATTATTATTTTTATTATTTTTTTGAACGATAAATTTTAATTATTTTTTTTATTATTTTACTCTAATCCTAAACTATTTCTAAATCCACCTATGTCTCATACCATATTTGAATCATCAATCTAAAACAGTAAAGCACATCTGATATCGGCCCTATGGAGTAAAGGGAAGTGCATATCTGGAGTGTTTGGCCGATAAATAAAGGCTTTGCAGCAAGCGGAGTTGTACCGAAATTGAATTTTCCGTGCATACGAGAAAAGAGTCCAGCCGAGCATATATGTTTGCTAGTTTCTTGATCCCGGAAATCTTGTACTCAGAATCATCAATCTAAAACAGGAAAAGCACATTTGATACTGCTCTCATAATCTACATCAATATCTCTTAAATGCTAGATTATTTAAAGGGAGAGACACATTTTTGTAACACATTAATTTTAGTCCAGATAGAACGATCAAATTTTAAAGTTTTTATTATCCAATATAAAAATATAAGGTATAAAATATTGATTTGGCAATGAAATCACATCCCATTGGTAATTAAATAATGTTATAAGGGAAATATAAAGCCTTAATGTTTTAGGCTTCATAGTTTAGTTTTTATCCTTTTTTTAATCAATTAAGTTTCAAAAACAGGAAAATATATTCATTTTGATCATTTTATCCGGTCAACATGTTATTTAATTTTCAAAAATTACACTTTTGGCCTAAATTTTAAATTTTATTACAAATTGTCCCAAAATTACACTTTTTGCCCATATTTTCAATTTTATCACAAATTTGGTCTAAAATTTATACTTTTGGCATAGATTTAAAAAATTTGTTACAAATTCATCATAAATTTAGTTTTTTTACATCTTTGCTTTTTTCAAAATTTTGTTTCGAATATGTTTTTTTAAATCTTTTTTTTTCAAAATCATATTTATACAAAAAAAACATATTTTCACATAAAAAACATTATTTACATCTTTATGGATTTATTAAGTGCATAAATATATATAAATTAAATTAATTATATATATTAGAAAAATATAGATCAATACATATCGATTGAAGGCAAACGGGCAACAAGCTGCGCCGCTAGCCCTTTTCTAGATGGCAAAACCAATTCTTTTGAAAACAACATTTGTTGATGTAGGAGATATGACATTAGAATGCATGATCCGTTGGACTCTGTTGAGGAGCTCCACCGCCTCTGGTGCGAGAAAACCAAATATTAAATCCATTTTATTATAAAAAAATGTATACAAATACATATTTTATAAAAAAGAAACATACAAACACCTATTTTTATAATAAATGCATTTGTATACAAACACATTTTTATAAAAAAGATGTATACAAACATGTTATTATAAAAATTGAATACAAACACGTTTTCATAAAGTAATCTATACAAACACCTATTTCACAATAAACATATATATATAGATATATATATATTATATATATATAGATATATATATATATATATTATATATATATGATGTGTGTGGTGTGTGTGTTATATGCACAAAAATAGGTTTTTGTATATATATATTTTTTATAAAAACATATTTGTATACTTTTTTTTATAAACATCTATTTTATAATAAATATATTTGTATATAAACACATTTTTCATAACAAAAAAACATATACAAACACGTGTTTTATAAAAATATATACAAACACGTTTTTTATAAAAAAAAGTATAACACATATTTTTATGCATATAAATACATAAATATATACAAATACGTTTACTATGAAATAGGTGTTTGTATATATATATATATATATATATATATATAATATATATACTAGTTATGTTCAAGGCCCGTGCTAAGCACGGCCCATGAAAGGTAACTTGGGTATCTCCTTCAGCATTGTCTGAATCTATAAACAAATATAAGTACATTTCTTTTATGAATAAGGAATTCTAAGTATGTTGTTATTATCAGGAAACAACCAAATATGTTGCTATTATTAATAGGGGTGTGTATGTGGCGGTTTTGTTCGACTTTTAGCTAAAACCGAACCATAACCATTATAAGTGGTTGATGCATTTTAGTAGTCATTGAGTATTGGTTAATATTGGTTTTGGTTAACGGTTTTTGTCAGTTAATGGTTATGGTTAATGGTTAATATTGGTTAATCATAATGGTTAAAAATGAGATAAAAATAAAATATAATTTGCTATAAAAATTGAAAAAACATAAAGTACATTATTATAAAAAAAAGTGAATGATTTTGTGTTTATAACCTTATTAATATGATTATGATAGAAGATTAGGTATCCATTTAATTCCAAGAAATTATCCACTAAATTTTCAATTCCAAATATAATTACATACCATATATTTAATATTATATTACAGTATATTAAAAAAATTATTAATATTATTGCTTGGTTTTTTTTGGAAGAAACCCATAACCGAACCATATGTCTTTGGTTAATAAAAAATAGAAGCCGCGTCACTTTTTTTAGTAATGGTCGGTTAAATGGTTCGGTTATTTCAGTTAATTTGGTTTTCGTTTGGTTTTTTGGTTAATATGCTCACCCCTAATTATTGTTAAGAAAATGAAAATACATTGTTATTATTATGGCTAATGAAAGTTTAAAATCTATTTCTATGTCATGCAATTTCGTATTTGTTCTTATTGCTCGGTGAAGACAACATGTCAGACAACATCAGGCTTGTCCACGGCTCCTATGTTCACTACATAATTGCCACTTACATAAATATTATTTGTCATTTTTAAATTGTTGCTATCAAGAAAAAAAATACAAGTGTGTTGCTATTATGGTTATAAAGTTCTAAGTATGATGCAATTAAGGATCCTTTTTAAAACACATTGTTTATTTGGTAGAAATGGTAAAGTTTACTGATAAAAGGCATTATCCCCCCTTCATCTTTCAAACAACATTAAGCATATCCACACACATATAATGCTCAACATGCATAATGTGTATGTGGTAGTGTGTGTTTCACTCATAAGCCCCAAATAATTTTTGAGTAACTGGATACATGAGACTACATACTGTCTTCTGACAGCTTCACATAGCCTCAATATGTGACTTACATTTTTAACAACCTGTGACAATGAATCCGAATGAAAGTGAGGCAATTTTTGTAGGATCTGTAATCTTAAAAAAAAGGAATAAATATCATACCATTTCACTAAATGAAATTATCAATATTGTGTAAATTCAAGAGCATGAACGGCATATTTGTATACCACACAAATTAATTTAGAGAAAAACAAAATCATTTATGTTTATGCAAGATAGACATGTAGAATTCAGGTAAAGGTACTAAATATCGAACTATCATTGATTGATTCCCTTGTAGTGAGAAGGGAATGGTATGATCAATAAGTTTTTTTATTAATAAAGGCATCATAAATTAAGATCTCTTACCAGGAAACTTAATAGAAATTTTCATCACCAAACCTAACAAATCCATACCATTTTGAACATGGTTACTTTTAAAATTTAAAACTGTAATTTAGATTATATATTATTATGAAAAAGGTCCATGTCATTAAGAATTGGATTAACTGAATGGGTTATATTGCAATTTCCATTTCTTTTGCTGATGGAATGAAAAACAAACACCCATGGAATGAAAGTTAACAACTTTGATAAACTATAAACTTCTTAGTGGGATCTGATGTGTCAACAATTGTCGGCATAATTATATTGCAAGAAGCCAATACACACTAAAATGAAGGAGGCAATATTGTATAGATGTTCTTACATCGAGTATTATTTCTTCTCCCTCTTTCATAGCCCCTCAAAATCTTCCAGCAATATTATGCTCACGGATGTCTTGAATCTTGTACAAATCAAGTGCAAATCAAAATTAAACTGAAAATAATCACTAATTTAATCGATCAAGAAAAAACAGGTGACTATTCGCTTGAAATTAATGCATACCCAAATCACAATAGAGATGGAAATGAAGAACCATGCTTCAAGAGAGAGAAAGGGTTAGAAAAGTGTAGTAGTGTGTAAAAAGACAATCTTCAAGTAAATATCGTACTCTTACCTTAATATGGTCACGATGACATAGACGTGAAATGGAAAGAGGAAAACCAACAAAAACAGCAGTAATCTTCTTCATTGACGTGCCCTTTTCGTCCGACATGGATTTCCCACATGAAGGGTCCTCAGAACCACCGTCATTACACAATCAAAATGATGAACATGTGGGTAAATAAGAGTGGAGAATCATCGATTTAATTATGCCTACAAAAATGAGAAAAGAGGGATCGTTATGATCCGGAAAGGATTTATGGGTGCCATAAAAGGAAGTCTATAATAAGGATGAGATAGCGGTGGAGAGAGTGTATCCGGGAAGCCTATTCACTTTCAAACTACACATAAAAACACCTCTGATTATTTCATGGATTCTTCATCTTCTTCAGAGGATATTAGAGAGAGGAAGACGATATGCGTGTGAGAAGGAGAAGGAAACGGACGAGGAGAAAGAAGCGGTTCTGGGATACTCCAGAACCGAAGATATGTGATGAGACGTAAATGAAATCGATAACCTACGACACTGATCAATCGATATGGCACAACACAAGGGATAATGAGGCAGTGTGAATCGGTTAGATATCCATTGCGTCGTTCAGAATATGTTGCGTGGTGACCTAAGAACCCTATAAAACTGATATTGGCGGTACGAGAAAAATAGGGCTTTT